AAGATTGGCCTCGAAATGTATAAAGGCAAGAAGAAAATAGTTTTGTTACGAGCTATTTTCGCTGATAATTATCGATTATGCAATAACTACAACAACAATTTTTTCAGCTTAAACAATTTCATTTTTGTAGATTGGTTTTCTACAGTAAAACGAATCCAACGTAGACATAGAGAAAATGGAGAAAGGCGAATTAAAAAATAAAATGTCTGCGAAAATTCTTCATGTCGGCCAAAAGGCGAGAGGGAGGATATTACAACAAAAAAACAGCACCTGTTAACCTGGATTTTACAGAATAATTGTTAAATATGATTAACATGGTTTGTTTGAATTTGAATTCTTCACATTACGCACATGCTCATACAGTCATGATCTGTGGAACCTCTCCACAACGGCCACCTTTGGGGAGGAAAGAGGAAAGTGGCCGTTGATGAGAGCTGACCGTTATGGGGAGGTAGGAATGCAACCTTACACCTTTTTGTCGAGGGTGCAACATTTCTTTTCTTAAAACAAAATGGTTATTTTAGCAGATAACTGTTCGTAACACTATCAAAATAAGTCAATAAAACAGAAACTAAACAAAACCAGCTTACTTACAGGGTTTATTTTAAAGCTATGTGATCATTTAAAAATCTTTTAATTTGACTGTATCTTTCCACAGCTGACAGAGAAAGTAAAGCGAAAGCAGGAAAGGTAATAAATAAACAACCGTTTTTAATGACTGCGCTTCCGGGTTTTCTTAGGCCTAGTTTTAACTAGCGACATTACGACATACAGCTGTAACGACATAGAAGGACGTTGTGTCGTTATGTTTGTAGCGTGAACATCCCGACATAACCACTTAGCAAGATAACGAGCAAGATAAGTATTTGTCAGCTTTTTTCTGTCGTATATAATCCTGTCGTGGTTTGCTTAAGCTCTCTATTCATCTCCCAGTGCGACCCTCGAGTTTAGCTCATGCTTTATTAGACTGAGGATAGTACTAAGCCCATTTCAATTATGTAAAAAAAGAAAACATTGTTACCTATTTTTCTTCTCGCAGTTATCTGCAGCTTCAAGAAGAGAAGGAGAAACTCTACTCAGAAAACAAGTAAGATCAACCTGTAACTTCACCTTACAACTTCAATAAATCATCCAGTAGACAGGTGTTGAGAAGAAAGAAAACCATCCACTTGGTATTATTGTCTTGATGCAGAACCAAATTCTCAAAGCCAACTTTGAAAGAAATCTAAGGCAAACGATTAATTTTTATCCCGGGAACTCAACGACGTTACCTACATTAATAACGAATTTTTTTGGAACTATATAATGTCACGATTTTGGAAAATTACATTTTGGGATACTTAGCTTTTCCATGTTTAGACGGGGGTTGGCGGGGATGAGGGTGGGGGTGGGGGGATGGGGGTGATTTGGTATAGGCACCTTTCATACATTAGGAAATTTTTTTTTTCTTGAGACGTATGTATGCATGAT